CGATAAGTGTGTCTGGCCGTTTGAATCAATCCGTACAAGTAATATGTAAAACACCCAATCACGTGGTAGAAAGTTTTGGATCCTCTTTACCAGTTCTCGTCACAGAGGCTTTAACATTTGTAGATAGAAATGTTGCTGTTAGCGTTAATATCTCAGCGGATGGCTGGGTTTGGCTTGTATGCGGTCGTAGATTGCTGGTGTGGCAATATAAAACAACAATTCATGATCCAAAACAAAGAAGAACCTTTAAAACTCAATGTAGAGAATTGTTATTGCCTCAAAGCGATTTAGCTCATAAAGCAGACTGCATAGCTGGGTGGTTGCCTCTAGGTCAACAGGTTATTAAAATTCACTGTTACTACATCGTGCACTATTTACTTTGATATTTGCAGTTACAAATTCATATGATTGTTTAATTTGTAGGTACCTAGTTGCATGGCTGTTTCTCCTGAAGGTATTGTACGATTTTGGGCCAATGTTGCGCACGAAGAATCATATGTGGAAACAAGTGCAGAACTGGCTGGACAAGAGGTCAATTGTCTTACTTATATTCCTGGTCATGGTTGTATTTTAGCTACAACCACATGTACAATAGCGCTGTTGCAACCGCAGTTTGCTAATGGCAAAAACAGCATTTCGTGTCAGGTTCTCAGGACGAGTCAAGGATGGCTAGGTGGTATAGGACGCAGAATGACCTCCCTTATTTTCGGAGCTATGCCTCAGTCTCCTGTTATAGAAACTGTAAGCTCTTATTGAATTTTTAATAAGCATTTTCATACTATAATACGATGCAATAAAATTGATGCTTTTTTATTTTCTAGAAATTGGTAAAAGTTACCTGCACGGATTTGGGAGACAAGGGATCAAGAATTCTTATTTTAGCTGGTACATCTATACAGTATTGGTCTTTTCCTCGTAACGAACAGGAAAAAATGGAGTTCGACGAAGATATCGGGCATATCGTTTCGCAAACATTTCAAAGAAAAATTTTGGTACGCGTAAAATATTGTTTATATTTGGAAACATTTCATTTATCCGCGACAATAATTTTAGGAATTAGGCACGTGTGATCCACAAAATATGAATGTATGGTTAATCGACATGCAACCGTGTGACGAAGGCATAGTAATTTTAATGGCAGCAAAGTCTACTGGCGTATTCACTCAAGTTCACTTTGCTCTTGGTAATATTGTTACAATTATAATTGATTTTCTTGTACTTTTCGGTGTGTAGAATAGTTTAATTGTAGGTCTAATGCAGCTGTCTTCCACGACGTTAGCAAATACATTTAAATGGTTTATACCAATTAAATTGGATCTTATCATATTCAGTGGTTGCCCTGAATCAAGTTTAGTTCCTTATCGGTTTATATTATGCGGTTGGGAAGCTATTATATACAACGAGTCTTTGGTGCTCGTTGTTAATTGTGAGTTTGGTTTGGTTTTAATTACAAGCCCACGTTTCAACTTAATATTTTTAAATAAAATTTGTCATAGGCATGTCTGAACATGAACGAGATGAAATACAGTTCGTACGAAAAGGGGATAGTATTCTTGGCGGTGCCTTATGTTCGGGAACTCCGGTTTTATTTACCAAAAACTTTGGATTGGTTTCTATTATACCGACGGATTTCCCATCGCAAGATTTTAATATGTTCGTTTTATATACATGTTAATTTAAGGTATAAGGTTGTTGAAAACATACATTTTTTTATTAAGGTTATACTGTTATTTATAGAAATTATGCTGATACAAGCACAGATTGTACTTATCGACCCAATACACACGTTTTTACTAGTCTGATAAGCAACGAAGAAGTTCAAAATATGTTCTACAGCTCTGATGGAGCCACGCAATTGCGTGCTGCGTTTCTCCTTAGTTTACGTCAAAACAAGGTTCGTTCGTTCGATCAGTTTTCTTGAAAGCCTGATTCTAAAACAACAGTTTCATTGCAGACACAGTGCGAAGAAATTTTATCGCAACTCTTCCCTTTACAAGAAGTGCCAGTGATGGATATAGACGCTAGCATCGACACTTTAGCATTGAAAGTAGCTCAAGACTTGATAGACGATTACCCGGCGAACGATCCGCGTTGGTCGAATCACAGGGATCTGTGTAACTAAATTTCTCACGCTTCGCGTTTTAATTATAAGATACATTATGAATTTTAATCGATTACGTTATTCACAGCTATGACAATAAACGCAGTCACTTCGATGCAAATACCTAATCAATTGGAGGGAAAACAGAAAGCGTTAGATTTATATATATTATTTCTAAAGGAACATGAATTATGGAATCGAGTAAGTTACTTCGTTTGCGCGATTACATTATACTTACATGTATATAAACCAGTGTAACATTACTACATGATTTCTCTCCATTTAGTTTGGCGCTGTTACATATAGAGGGATCATCGCGTCTACCCCGCACGTCCTTAGAGAATATGCAGAAAAAATAGTCGCGGCGTTAACTATATACAGTCTTCAAAATAGGTAAGTTTTCCACAACGCGCGTAGTTGACAATTTGATGACTCGTCTATGTTCTCAACTATTTCAAGATATTCAGACATCGTGGACACCGTGATAGAACAAACGTTGAGTCCCGAATCATACGTGTCTGACGAATTAACAGCACGTGATATATTTTATCGCAAAGTGAGCAAGGTGCACAATTTTCTTCCTGTCCTGGTAAGCAATGCGCGTGAAGTGACTCAATCTGAAAGACCTATTCAACATGTGGCGCATTATATCATGCAAGTGAACGCTATCTTATTGGTAAGCGCACCGTTAAGGAATAAAATTTAACGCGAAATGAACGCTCATGTGTCAACTTGTTAAATGCATGTTAACAACAGAGTGTACTACACGAGGTACTTAAATACCGTCAACACAATGCCGAACGATTCATCCCTGCAAGAGATTTGACCGATATAACGGAATATTTTCCCTGGACGACAGCAATTGGTAAAAGCGGGCTTGGAAATTGTCTTACCACGATGGTTAGTTTCTCTTGTTAACACTTAAACTATTTAGAAAGAGTTGGAAGGGGGCTTTCTGCAATAATATATATTAATCTAGATTACTAGATACATAAAAATGAATACGTTTTGTTGTTGCAGTATAATTTAACACTTAAACACGGCGTGACGGGGACCAACGATTCGGCAGTGAGAAACGACCTATACGAGCAATTAGTAGGTTTGATAGATTTAATACTAGACGGTCGAAAGGATCAGTTAGAAAGTGTACGAGGTACAGACATGTTCGAGATATACACGAAGGAATATGAAACGTATCGTACGAACTTAATTCAACCTCTAAGTATGTATCTAGTTAATTTAAATAATCGTTGTACGCGTATTCATGATCACGTTTGATAATTTACAGTAAAGGAAGAGCAGTATGATAGCGCGGCAATGCTAGCCGAAAAGTACTGCGACTTCGCATCTCTTATACAGATATGTGAACTGACTAACAATAAAAATCGGTTAGACGGTTATATAGGAAAATTCTCAAATCACGACTTCGTAGGATACTTATTTTCGTGGTGAGTAATCTTTTCCGCGCAATCGACGAAGTAAACGACTTTCGCTTTGATGTGTATATGTAAAGATCAATTTTCCAACTGAAGGTATGTAAAGGACGGTCGTCAAGGTCAATTAGTGGAAAAATGCCGACGCGGAGGTACCACCGAATTGACAGAAAAATTAGCAGAACATCCCACCTTATCTTGGGTTCAAGCTGCGCTTACGGATAACTTATCGTCCGCTGCCATCACACTTCACTCTTTAGCTATTCAAGAAAGCGAATTGGTAACACGCAAAAAGGTGAAACAAATGCAATTTTCTCGTTAATTATCTGTTTCACTACTTTGGAATATTAGTTTTATTGTGTCTTGATCTTCAGGATAATACTTATACTACTATTTTAAATTAACGAACACAGTTTTAACGATGTCAATACTTTAGTGAAGGATAGCTTAGATTTGAATTTTATACATATATCCGCTATTTGTACACATTTTCGAACATGTTTTCAATCAATTTTGAACAAAATGAAATTCTATATTAAAAAGTTAGAATAGACTTTATCTCTAGCTTCTCCAAGCTTCTCTATTTTAATTATTTTTAAATAAATATTAATTTTGTCTCGCAGTCGATGCTTTCCTTAGCAAAACTTGCACTTCTTGCTTCGGACGATTCTCATGAAGACTTTGTAAGTAGAATCGACAACGAATTGGCGTTGATTGCTCATCAAGAAGATTTACCAACGCAAGTACTCACAACCTACGGTTACGATGTGGAGAAATTACGAGTTTTCACGCCAACAGAATTAATCACGGTATTCATTTTTACGTGTATCGATCTAATTCCTTTTACTATAAAGAGATTCATGTAATCACGGATTTGATCGCTACAGTTGTATACGTCCGAAGACAACGTTGACGCGAATGAGTACGATTTCAAAAAAGCTCTCGATTTGCTGGATTACGTGGAAGAAGAAGACGAGAAAGCATCTTTGAAGTTACGCATTTGGGCGCGGGCTGCTAAACGCGACGATTGGGAGAACATAGGAAAAAATCCTGAGCAGCAAGTACAGGAAACGATATTCTTTAAGTTAATGGACCTCGCACACTTTATGGGTACGTTATTGATTATTTAAACGAATGATATGGGATATATTATAGTATTTGTTAATAAAAATATTATTTTATATTGTTCACGATACAGGTGATTCGATGTATGAATCTCTTCCACCAGTCGATATGTTGTTGACGGAACCTGAGCTAGGAAGCCTTGCTGAATCGAGTAACTTTCAATTCCTGATAAAGTTCGTCTACGAATACGCGTATGACAATTATTAATCCACTCGTTCTGTTGTAAGTAATAATAAAATTTGTATTTTTTTATATATAATAAAATGTTGCCATGTATATATTGCTAGACAGTATTAAATCGCATCAGATCCTGTAACAGGATATACATATAAAAACTGAACTCTCGAATCATTTCATTTAATTTTATTGTTTAGTCGTATATACAGTAAAAAGTCGTATAAATTTGTATCAAAAATTGAACATTAATCCTACGTTTTGTCTTCGACTATAACAGAGTTCGCGAGAGTACGTAATATACAAATAAAAGCGAAACATTTAATACGAACAAAGGTACATTTTTATTGGCAGAACTCTCGTAATAGAAATTTTCCGACCTTATGATGAACCTTACTTGATCTGGTGTTCTGCAGTCTATTTCTGTAATAGAAGAGATGACGTTTTATTACTAATAATTGTACAATGATTCTTCATCATAGTCTGTGCTTACCTGCACATTTGAAATGAGAAGTTACATTTTGTATACGGAAATATATATCAGGGCAAGGTAAATCTTTAGTACATTTTAATTGATCGATTAAAGTAATTTCTTTGTAACCATCCATTTCCGTACAATTGTAATTTTGTCTCTCGCCGGGCTGATATTGTATCCACGTGCATACATTTATTTTTCCATAATCGAAATTGTGAATCTAAAGAATTTAGAAATTTTATAGTAACGATTTAAGACAACAGAATTCTCAAACATTAAATCACTTTAAAATACGAACTGTGATGGGCGTTCTTTTTATGTTTCGTTTCCAATACGAATGTAATCTGTATACAATAGACTTTGAAGGGCTTATATAATCTTCGAATTGGAGAGTGGAATTTTTGGAATTTGAATCGATATATTTTATAGGTCTTAGAGTCCGTGGTACTGAAAATGGGCACATGAAATGTATCGATGATACGCACAAACTATGGTATCAATAGAGTTAATTGTATTAAAGATGAAACATACTTATTGAAAGATGCTGAATGACATCGTCGATATTAGAGTTGTTTATTAAATGATCTTCGTGCGATAAAATGAATGCATTAAACAAATTGGTATTATACCGCGAGGTATAGTACACAAAGTGAACGTCTATAAATATGAAGAGAAACAAATTTTTTTTTACTTCCCAATTATTAATTAAAGGATAATGATTTTTACCTGGATGATGGTATTTAATTTCTTGCAATAATGTTATTATAAATTGTCTATCATTGGCAGACATGTAGCTTAGAGGAATCAGTAGTACAATTACTTGACCAAGGTTTCCAATTCTGTTTAGTTTTCGATTATCTTCCCAAGTCTTATTTAAATGTGCAAATATTGTCTCTAAAACTCTAGTATAATTTAATTGCGTCGGCCCTGAAAAGAATATTACTTTGAATACTTTAACTATACCTATATACAATATATGTATCCATAACAAAACTTACACGAGATATTTGTAAAATTATTTAATGCTTCGAATGCAAGCGATGGGCTGTTTGTAACGTTCAATAGCCATTCTCCTGAAGTACCATGTATTATTCCCATTTTTGACCCGTACATCGATACATCCAAGTCTTGTATTAAAACGCTAACAGGAAACACTATTAAAATTAAAAGTATTGGACAGAAAATTGTATTGACTTACGCCAGAAAGTTTGTCGTGTACTCTATAGCCCATGCACCATCAAATACAATTAATGCTTCTACTCGATTTTGATTGATTGGTTCTCGACAAGGTATCTCTGGGAATAGATGGTTTTCTGCATACGCATAAAATTTTTCGGTGGCATACTCTGTCATTCGTTGCAATGCTTCAGGAGATATATATGCTATGCTTTTTCGATAAGCTAACATTTGAGCTATCGCGTTAATCTGTTAAATTGGTCTAGTATTTATAAGTTAATATCATATACTTTCTGTATTTTCGTTTACTTTATGACAAACCTGCTCATTCAAAATAGTCTTTGGCGTGGTAAGTACAAAATGTTGTGCTCGATTACAGGCTTTAACATTCACGTCGAAAGCGATGCCTTCGTACGAATAGTACATATTTAATATTTGACTAAGCCGAAGACTGTAAAATTTTTGAATCCAGGTCTGCAAGTTACTTGCAATAATCAAACCTAAAGTGTTTCATAAATTATTTGTTCAATAATGTGGATTTATGTAGTATTTAAACAGTATTTAAAAAAGATAGAATGTACTTTATCAGTTTACCATCAATGCCTCCTAACAGTTCAGCTCGAGTCGCTTCAAAACTTGTGTGTTCACTCGTCAGATAATAAACAGTTGGATACATTGTATTGTTCCAAAATCCTGTTGCACCAAGAGACATATTATTACCTATCAAAGGTCCTTGATACACTGTCATTTCTGCTAAATCGCCTAGTAAAATAAAATCCTTTGCGTATCGATACTATATAATTAAAATACGAATGTTAATGTGGATGAATGCTATACCCGCAATTGTAGTCAACCATACATTATCAAGTTCTACAGACGAACTCATTAAAGTACGATACCACATATACTGTTCGTGAATCATTTGACTTTTTGGTAGAACAAAGTCGATTTCTTCCTCGTCGTATTTTGTATTCGATGTGCGTGTAGCGTTTATCCCTACAGGAACTGGAAACATCGTTGACTGTAGTGCATTACACTAACGTTTACATTAATTTTATACCTGAAGCAGGTGTCCCCAAACTAGCAATTAACTGATTTAAAGCAACATTTTGATGTTGAAGAGATGCAGCAATGGCTCCTATAATTGATCCAAGAGCAACAGTGCCATACGGTGTTAAAATAACTCCTTGTTGTCTTGGACAATTGTATGTATCGGTGAGGATATTTTTGCCTGCGTAAGAATCTTACATCTTTACTGTCCTAAATACTTCATTTTTCATCAAATTTACCTGTTTGTTTTTCAGTTTGGATAACTCGATGGCAAGACTTATTTACGTTTTGAACGTCATGTTTTATAATTGTATTCGAAATAGCCTGATGGAGTATACAACGTTCGGTACGTGTCAATACATGAACTGGTAAAGCTTCTGTGTTACTTGGAATGAGTTCTTCTATCATCTGATTTTTAACACGTTGGCTTCCAGTTCCGCCGAATGGAAGTACATCGTTAGTGGCTTGTATATTTTCTTGAAACTCGATACCATCGAATTTAAATCTATCGTTTACAGAAAATGATTGTTATTTATTACAACAGAATAATGTAGAGTCGAAGTTTAACACATAATTTCATTGTACAAAGCAACCTGTGGAGTAACGACGACGACAACATTCTCATATTCATTGATGCATATGAATGTTTCTCCAGTTTTTGTATGATGTCCACTACTGTACGTAAATTCAATGGAAATTGAGGATTTAATGTAGCATCGCTTCTGTAACATTCTCTGAGCGGTTCTGGTATAGTTATGTGAGATAACGTGAACTGCAATTCTGCATACCAAAAGAAAAGAGTTTTCGTAACGATGGTATTAAGAAAGAAATCTAGTAATCGTTACTTTCAAAATTAGTATTTTTCATTAGAAGTTATAGCAACTTACCGCAGCACACCATCAATAATACGATTTTGGTAATTGCCATGATTGTGTTATTGAAAATCCATGATGTACGTTACGTTACGTTGACGATGTACGTTATCGGAAACCTAAAAGTTATATTGTATTTCCGATATCTAGATGAAACACTTCAATGACTCACGAACATATAAAGATGAAAAAAGATTGTGTTCTATTTAAAATCTGATAAGACATTTGTCAATAAAATACTTCATCATCAATAAAATATCAGACTTTATATTTTTCTTCTTTACCGTTAATAAAGGATTCTCTTAAATACTAACTTATACTTAATTTGTTGAAAAAATGATTGTAATTTTTAAAAGCGTTTTGCCATAAAAATAAAGTTTATTAATACTAACAGAAAGAAACAAAATATAATAAACGGGAAAAACAGAGAATTTTAAATTCATGTTATTTTACTGTTTGTAAGATTATCAATTAATTAGTGGATTCTGAAAATAACTGTGTTAGTAAGAGTACCTGTAATAAGGTGGAGCTCTATTACTCATGGATGTATCATATTATCTTATCAGTTTAGCCATGATAGGTTTCAGTATATCTTCAGATAGGTGTGGTGTTGTACTTTGCTATATGGAACTAAAGGGATATCATTCACTCTGTCTTAAAAGCATCGGGGTATCAAGTACTGTGTGTATTTCATATTGTCTGAGACTATAATTTAATTTCGTCCTAATCGTTCATTTAGATTATTATACTTCATAACTAATAATACATCAAATTAATCACATTTTCTTTTTCTTTTCTTATCGTATCCTCTACGTTGCTCATACTTCTATTATCTATTCATATATTAATTAAACGAATATAAAATGTTAATTTTTATATTTTTATTTTTTAGATCTGCTGAAATGGCAAAGCTTTTTTGTTTTCTCGCCTTCGTTACGTTAGGTAAGTATCTCATCATTATTACATTGAAAGCACGCTATGGCAAATCGTATTGAGCATTTACAATATATGTTGAAAGCAAAAAATCATTGCGGTTTTATTCAAAGCTTCAATCTTATTTCTTTCAGCTGTACACGCGCAAGAAAATGCGGTTCATAATCTTTCGCCGTCCCTTCGGGAATGTTACGTGAACAAGTACCTTTCACAAAGAGATAACAGATTACCGCATACTTTGAATACATTCCTCGCAATTTTACGTAAAATTGAAAACACGGAAGGCCTTAATATGGATCTGAGAAGTTTATCTGTTGCGCTCTTACACCGGTAAATTCAATTTTCGTCGTGCTACAATTATTCCATTGAAACCGTACAAAATTGTAAATAATTTAATCGTTATTTAATTTACAGTTTCCGGCAGGATGGAATTGTACCAAATCCTCTTATTCCCCCACAAGATGGAGTATCACCGTACGCTCCAATTGGCAACCAATTTTACCGGCATGCTCACACCCTTCGTTTCATACAAGGAAATGCTCTTCTCTTTCCTAACAATAGTATCACAGCCATTGAAAGGGTATTCTTTTATTTATTTATACACATATGAGATGCAGACTTCATTGAAATTCTATGTCATTAACTAACGTTTAATTATTATATTACAGTGTACCTTACACTTCATGATGTCGAGTAGTATTGAAATTTATGAAAGAGGAGACGAAGGAAAGGTTTGTAAGTACGCAGACACATACAGATATGCAAGAGACGTTGGTAGCGATGATGATGGGAACGTTAAAGGTGCCAACAGCGACGTAGAAACGTTGTCGTCCGATGAAATGTAAGTGGAGAGAACTATGCGATGCGAAAACTAATTCTTTAGAGTTGTAAATAAATTTTTCTCGATATATTCAGTTTCATCACTGAATAAAAAAATGCATATTAAGTCGCATACATGTATTATATTAATACGTTGTTCGTTTTCCATAAGTAACTAATGACATTTAAGAAATGTATCAATGTAATAATTTATTCGGTTTTGAATGATTCATGAATGTATGAAATTTTGATAAAAAATGATGGAGTTCAAGTGAGAGGTGACAAATTTATTAAAGACTTCATAATTTTTTATCATATTTCATACATTTATGAGTCATTAAAGAATATACTTATGAATTTCATCAGAGCTTCGTCAGTTTCTCATATTTAAAAATAAATAAAATAAAGGTGAAAATGTGATACTTATGAAATCTTTGCACAGAAGGACGATGACTAATAAGAAAGATGGAGACGATCAAGCTACGCTTGATCCAAATTCGTTATACCCGGAATATCCACCTAACCATCCAGACTTTGCACGGTTACTTTCTCTACCTAGGAGTAAATGTCCTGTAGAAAATGGTGTTATAAAAACTCCGTACGTCGGACATTCGTTAAACTATTTTAGTAATCTCATAAACTGGATGCGACGAATTATTTCATATTAACGGATGTTTTAGATGGGGTGTTGTTTCACCTGGTCTGGTCCTTGCTGGAATTGCTGCTGCAACGCAACCACAAACTTTCTCTCTTCAAGACGTTCAGACTAACATATCAGACAAGACTTTAGACTTATCATCATTAACTATGGACACTAAATGGATCGTCACTTTAGCTGGTAAGTACTGATTTCTCGAAATATAAATTTTAACTTGATTATGGTATACGTTAATATTGTACAATATGTTATATTGTATTTTTTATTGCAAATTTGTAGGAGACTTAGCAGAAGCAGCTTTAGTACAAGGCCCTTTAGGGAAGAAAATTCATATCGGAGCAACTGGTAATTGGAACTCTACTGCTTTACCGCGATGGTATTTCTTAAATGCCAATGAAAAATTGGAAATGACAACGGCAGAAATCAGGGGAGATTTAGATGGTTTAATTTTGGCTTATGAAGTTAACAAATGGTATTCCCAAGTACCTAGTTTGAGACTTTCACAGATATTTGATATGTATTATAGCAAACAAGGATTCTTTGATTCCTCGATTAGAGCGTGCGATCGAAGAACATTATTTACGGCTGTTGCCCCCAATGATACGATGACTAGACAGGTTAAATATTTTAATACTTTCATGTACTTTTTGATTAATTTATGATATAAAAACTTTTTCTTATATTTTGTACTTTCGTCTTTTCTGTAGGCATACATTGCTTCTTTATTAATGAGTTCGGAACTAGTAAAGGCAACTCTAGCACCTGAAATAATACAAACCTATGCAGTGAAAGCAGTAAATGAATTAGTAACATATGTGCGTAAGTATTGGTTCTTAAATTTCATATGAATCTTACATGTACATTTCTACAAATTATGTATACGTAAAAGTCCGATCCGCATAAATAATTTCGTAGCTACGTCAATGAATAAGGATCTTTCATGCGCGGATACAGACAAATTTTATGATTTCAATCCAAAGTCTGTTGATTTGACCATCATTCTGGATACAAACTGCCCATTCTCTACGATACAGCCCATTCTGGCGTAAGTTTCTGGTCATTTATCGTAAATTTACGAAGATGTATATTAAATTAAAAATTATATTTTTCAGGAAATTGTTAGAGAATATAGACTTAAATCCATACAACAGCAATTTCACGTTAATAAACGGCAACAATGGAGTTCCAATTATCAACAGTACTTCTAACATCTTAGAATTCAACGCGTACAATTCGTCGCAATACGAAAACAGTATGTTACAATACGTTGTATGTTACAATTACGTCACTGAAATAACTGGCAATTTAATCGTTTTGTTAAAAAATTGTTTTTAGTTACCTATGGTTTTGATTTACCCAAATCGATTGACGCATTATATTTGCGTTTAATGGACTTGCTAGACAATGAACGCGATCGAGGTGTTGGTGGTGCAAGATCTAATGTTGTTTTGATTATTCCATATATGTCGACTATCTCTAACACTGACAAAGACTATAGCTTGAAACAAATATTACGAATCCGAGAGAAAGCTCCAGGTGATAAATCATATATTCCTTGAAATGTGTTAATTGTTATTACGTCGCCATTTATTACTACAGGTGTAGCGTTAACGTAAATATCAATGTAATTAACAATTGACAATTTCATTTCAGATACAACGCTACTTATTATGGCATATGGTTCAAAAGATACGTGGTCTGCTTTGACACAGGTTCCATCAACGGATATGTTCTCTATTGGTATTGGCGACACAGAGGAAGCTTTGACTTCGATAACCACTGTAGTTTCAAGGATAAAGCAAGGTAAGATAAACAAATGTAATTAAGTAAAACAAATGATATTGAATGAACATCATTACAGTTCCTAAGCGCTTGATCAACACCCAGTGTGGATCAAATTATGCTACAATTGGATCTTCAAATTCATACGTGGATTACGTCTCACCAAACGGCACTAATTTCCATAGATTGCATCCTAATTACTTTTTTAGGACTCAAGACTTTGCAATTATAAAAGTAAAGAATTATTTCTTATCCTTACAAATGTTTTTAACTTGTAGAATATCGTCTATATAATAAACTAATGTTTTAGATCCAATCTTCAAATTCAAATAGGCTAACTGTATGCTCATCGCGGGTACCAATATACGCGAATTCAACGGTTCCATCCGAATCATGCGTATCGATAACCAGCGAGACACACGCTATTTCAGTTAATTGTGCTAACGCTACTATGATTCACGAATGCCCCCCGCTTTATATATCGGTGACCTCTAACTCCACAGATGTCACATATCAATGCACAGGTGAGTAGAATTATTCCATATAAAATATAAGTTGTACAAAGATCATTTAATTTTGAATTAATATCTTCGTTTTCAGATCCTCGAGTATGCAGATATCCCTATCAAATAAAGTATACGGTATCCTACGAAAATCTACTATGTACTAGTGGTACAAACACGATACTGAATTCTCTTATTCTAATCGTACTTACAATTTTCGTTAATCTATATTAAGTAGTAACAACTATTATATAGATTCATGAATAAGTTAATCATCTAACATTTTTTTTCTTAAGATATCGTATAGTCATGATTGAATTTTACATTAAGTGTGTTCATATTTGAATAACGACGTGACGACAAATTATTGTAAAATGTATATTGCTATCGATTAAGTAGCTTGACCGAGCACTCAGTCTCTATGAATAGGCCAGTCTCATTCGTGGAACGTATGAATCTTTTTACCCCTAACTTTAGATTCCAAGTGCTGGGTCCCGAGGATCTCCATTTTAATGTTCTTCTTCCGGGCCGTATCTAGGACAGGTAGGGTTGACCCGTAGTCCCAATTTTGCTAAGTACCTTCCGGTGTGCCAATGCTTCGTGACGAGACCGACTATAAGCCTGAGCTTAGTCCGATTCAGTCTCGCCAGGGTATTACTTAGCACACTAGATGGTTCCCTTAGCATAGCATTGTATATGGTAATTTGTTATTTTAAATTGAGATAAATTATATGCATAATATTTCTACAGAAAATTGAAATAAAACCGCGACTCGTATGTAATTTTTATAAACAATGTATTATCACATATAACAGGAAATATAATACATTTTAAATGAAAGGTTTACAAAGAGTGACTGTGTGATCTATTCCGCAAGCAACTTTTCTTACTTGAGCCCCGACATTTACCTATATCATAAATTATTATTTTGTAATTATATTATAATTGTTGTATTATAAATATAATTAGTTTACCTTTAATGGAAAGTATTGATCTTTAGCATCTCCTAGTCCTAAAGCTCCAAACTTATTACAGCCCCACATATACAAATCGCCCGTATTAGTTAAGGCTGCCAGGTGACTCATACCGCAAAATATTTTTACTACCTACAGAGAAACTAATTAATTTCCATTCCATTATTTATCGAAATTTTTCTGACTTACTTTAATATTTCTTTCGTATGCATTTTTACCGAACAGAATAGACGGAATTTGCGTTGGCTTTGCAACAAATGTAACTTCTGGACCAAAACCAAGAATACCGTAACCCCATACGTAAACGTCACCTGTATCTATACACACATTTAAATAATTGCGATGGAAAACTGGTAATAACGTAGATATACTATTTCGATTGAATACTCCATTTGAAAATTAGAATTCTTAATTACAAGATTCGTGACACTTACTGTTCAAAACCATACAAAAACAACCACCACTGGCGATGTCAGTAATGTGGCCTACTGTTTGCAAGGCACCTATTTCCGTTGCTATATTTACTTGATGATTGTTGCTGTTAGCAAGTAACTGCCCATACTCTGAGTTACCCCAGCCAAATACTTTTCCTTTATCTGTAATTGCATGGTAATTACAATTAGGCAATCATGTATAATATCGCTATCGTTTCGCTTAAATGTAAAATAAAAGTATGGAATTTATTATAACATAAATACATGAATATTGCAGATACCGCTGAGTGCCAACACGCAATCCGCGACACAAGCGACTTTTGTAATATACTGTCCAGCTAAATCTCCTTTCACTAAGCTCGGTTTGTATTCATTTCGGTAATGCGCCAATCCCGTTTGTCCATCAGCGCCCCAACCAAAAGTATACACTTCCCCGGATTCTGTCAACAGTATGCTATTGGATAGCAATAAAAGGATATTCATGTATTTCAATTAACTATTTATTATATATTATAAAATCTAATACCTGTGATCTTGACCAGCCGATACAGCCTTAATTTTGTTGCCCTTAATATCAGGTATGTGATGAACTACTCTACTTTTGTTATAATTTTCATCAGTTATTATAGGCCGACCGCATTGTCCATACGCGTTATTTCCTAATGTAAATAAACCTTCATTGGTCAGCACCAACAGGTGTGCCCTTCCAGCTGCCATATCTATGATATCAGCGGAAGAATTTTTGAGAGGCAAAGGAATAGGCCTTGGTTCTACTACCAAGTCGTTGGGGAACTTTCTATCTTTTTCGTTGAATCCTGTTAGCATATAAAAAAATACATTTTAATGCATGGAATCTCCAATTTGCACGTACAAATGAATCTTTCATGCTCCATATTTTTTTAACTTTATCTTTTCTCAAAATATTTCAATACTTTTTATCTACAGAAGTTATACATATAGAGTCTCTAGGAATCCAGTTCTTACCAAGTTGCGAATCGGTGTTTATTCCACTTCCATACAGAACATTCTTATCGGTTGATTTTACAGCAAACGCAGTAAAACCATAACCACAAGTTACATCGGTCACATCAACTTTTTCACCGAAAGCTAATCGTTTTGGTCTTGCGATATAAGAAACACCTTTAAACGTCAAGCTTGATTTCATTCCAAGAGCACCATGCTCTGCCATACCCCAAACATAAACTCTTTGATCTCCTGTTTTGCTTATCGGATACTGAAAAACTATAAGAACATTAACAAATTAATGTATTAAGAGTTTACTACAGACTTTTCACGTTATGTTTCTTTCAATTTAATACCTGGCAATGTTTTTAAAATAGGTTTCTTGTTCTCTGGTTTGTTTAAACGCACGTTTTTACTACGTTTACGTACGTAATCTTTTAGATATGTTTTCATCGTATTCAACATGACTAATGTATTCCTTCTTCGAGAAATGCCAAGCAGGTTTGAGACTGATACTTTCAAGTATCGTTTACCGATTAAATTTTCGACTTTTTCGTAAATAATTTTATAATTTATAAAGCAACCGCCATTTCAGTCATTCGTACATAGTGGTACATAGTGGTGCATATGGTGCATACAGAAAAGCCAACGCTCATTGAGCCGCTCTATCAGCTGATCAGCAAAATACCAGTGGCGCCATCGACGCGAAAACGTCCAAGTTTATAGCGACAATAGTTCTCACTGTCACACTTTTAATAAACTATTCATTACTTTTTATAAATACATAATTAATACTATTCATTGCTTTTTAACACTACGATATATTAATTTACATGTCGAATTTATCATTTCCATTAATAGTTATTTAATACAGCAATAATTATTGACCCTGTGGTTAGTGACGCCATCTTATAGAAACTGGGAGAACTATTTTCACTACAAACTTAGGCGTTTTCCCACCGATGGCGCCACTAATTGTTTAATTTACTCCCACATATTATTATTTCAATAAATAAAATCCCGAATAATTCATAAAAATGAAGTATGAAATATGGAGAGCTAAAATTTAATATATTAATTGAAAATGAAATTGTAAATTTCTATTCTGTAACTACTCGTAACCCACCACAACCCTCTACTGGCGAATTGTAGATATGTTGGCATAAATATTCCTGCTTTGACATCATCATATACCTGCATATACCGTTTTATGCGAATGAGAAACGTAAACGGATTTCGCTGACGGGTTGATTGGATTGTATGTTTATCTTTTTTAATTGAATTGTATCTTCATAGCGAAATGATTATATCTTTTCCGTAAGAATGCTTAGCAAGATGAAAGCAGAAAATAAACATTGATATTCCTTGTAAATTACAGCAATGATAGAAAATAAGGAAAACAACCATTTACGGGATTCTTTATTATGATAGTGTCAAAAGGTAAAATTAATTTTATTATATGTTTGCCATTTGGTTGCCTTTCTGTTGATTTAATAATTCGGCTAATGTTTAGTGATAATGTTCAATTATATCGTATATCAAAAGTCATTCATATTACTGTCGTATTATTCGCGCTTTTTAAAAAAAGAAAACCAACTTCTGACGTAAAGATAATTGTTTCTTATACAATTAAATATACTTTACAAATTTTGTCTGATACACATACATTTTATTTTAGAAACACTATAATTAAAGCTTCTATGACTTTAAACTCATTTGTATAAGAGTACACTAAGACTGTTTGGTTTTATGTTGATCATTATCTATTAGCTTATGTGGTTTATTATTAATGGTTAGCAAGAAGTAAAACTGATAATAAGCATATGTTACGTACCTGAGGTTATTATAAATTATTTTTTCCCTTAGGTAGTAGCAGAAGATGACGATTAAGTGATTGTTTCCTTATACATAATGAGGGATAAGTGCATTAGACATGGATATACTTAATATAGAAGATGTGGAAACCGGTGTTCGTTCATCAAAAAATTCTACATCGATACAATGCAACTGCATAAACTCAAATTCTATATGTTACATCGCCGTCACAGTAGCTACACTGGCTCTTTTGGGAGCGATCGTTTTTATCTGCAGAGATTACATTAAAGTGTTACTCTATTGGATCGAACATCAGAATATATGGGTCGTTGCTGTAATATTTATTGCTCTGTTCACAGTGGTTTCATTTCCCATTGTAATCGGCTATTTATTCCTTATTATTGCTAGTGGTTACCTATTCGGTATATTGAGAGGTATCATGATGGTAGTATTATCAGCTAATCTGGGAATAGCCATAGCGCATATTACTCTCAGCACTTTGTCATCAAAGTTACCTCTTGGGGCACTTTTGCAAAATGACACAGCAAGAGCAATACTCAGAGTTATCTCTGGACCGCAAGCTTTCAAAGTTGTGCTGTTTGCGAGGTTAACTCCTATTCCTTTTGGTCTGCAAAATACTATTTTCGCAGTATGTACACTTTTCAATGATATTAAACTATGTACTCGTGAGTATATAAAAAAAATAATATGTTCAAATATTTAGGTGAGTAATATGGGTGGTGTACAATACCATCTGGCTAGCGCGCTAGGTTTACTACCCGCTCAAATCATTAATATTTATTTGGGCAGTAGCTTGCGATCTATGCAAGATGTTCTAGAAGATAGATCAACAGCAGCAACTGGTTACGTTGTCTTTTGTTTTCAGGTAAATTATTCCTTTTTTTAATTGGAAACTTACGAACTTTTGCTGATAATATTCAAAACAAAATCTACATTCTATACGCGTATCTATTGCATTTTCAGATTTTAATAGGAATTTCGTTAATGGTGTATGTTGTACAAAAGGCGCGAAGAGAACTTCAACTAGCATTGTTGGAGGCTGATCTAGCCTCGATGGCCGACTCCTCTCATTATCTTCTCGATACATTACCGGATCCTAAAATAGTTTTAACGAATCTGATCGCCTAAACTCGCATAAAAGTTTTACTTCTTCAATGGGTACCTGCATGTTTCATACCTAACAACATCATTCACACTATTCGCGATTAAGTAGAAGAAACAAGGTTTAGTATATATTTAATATCAAACAATCATACGAATATATATTATAGTTTACATATTAGAAAGAATATTCTTCTATTTGACATACTCGTTAAAATTGAGAAATGTTGGATCAAGATATACAAATCAATCGTTTACCACTTTCACTGCGTGACAGAAATACGAATAGATTTTGTTTGAGTGCTATTTCAAACAATTCTACTAGACCAGGTATACTAGTAAAAGAATTAATATCATTTAATCATGAAATGGAAAAATAATTACAATCATTTTCTTCATATATAATATTACTGTAAAAGAACTGAATATTTTGTGATACAAACAATAATTAATGGATAACTATTTAATTAAATATAAAGTAATAGAATTCTTTAAGCAATAACAACGGCAGATGAAGGTTCGCATTCGTAAGCATTTTTCTGAAATAATAAGTTGTATGTTTTGTGCCAAATCTCGTTTCCAAATACGAACAATCTCCATATATTTTAATATCTCCGTCTACGTAAAAAGATTTACATTTATTTACATTTGTTAATCTATATCGATTGTAATGTACTGTTATTAATTTTGTATTTTTATTTGCATTTTATTTGTATAATGCATTTATAAACGAGTCTTCCGAGATGTTAAGTTTTGAAAACCCTTTAAAATACATCAAATAACTTGTCGAAGACTTGAGATAGAATTAGAATTTATAAAACGAGTCAAATATTTGTTTTCAAATAATTGAAAATGACGTTATCGAATTTAAATGAAGGCAGATGTGTTATTTTGAAAAGAACGAAATCTAATGCCTTGCTTTATATATATGATTATACGGAATATTTTAGCTTGTAATACATGTTTAAAGTATAGCATGAAAAAGTATATATGTTTCTAGAATATATACGTAAACATTAATTATATTTACGCGAAGATTATAGAAAACGTTTGAGTAATAAATAAACGTTGTCGCAGAGATTAAGTAAACTCGACAAGCATTTGATCTGGAAGACTGAGACTATGTAATGGTTGAAATTATAATAAAATTTCCGTATTACTTTGTTATGGTGGCAACATATTGCTTCAACCATAACGTTCATAGTTCTTGTATTGTATTCTTGAACTTGATTTCTCATGTTTGAACCATTTAAAAATTTTTAATTTTTAAATTGAATGCAATTACGAAATTTTAATTCAAATGTCTACTTCAACTCTATCAAACGTTATATCCGTTTCTTGAATTAAGTAACAGATGTTATTTTAAAAAAACGCAGAATAAAATAAATTTCCATACAATCACACAGTTTGTATGCTAAATTTAAGCGTCGTGACGATACGAATAGAAAAATTGCGTTATACAACATTGTAATAAAAATAATGGAAATTGTAAATCACTCTACTAAATAAAAAGGATTGTATCCACGTATCGCGTTAAAAATCCTCAAATGCACGAATAGTAATCTTTTCGATGTTTCTTCAAGGCCTTTTTAATAACTGCAACGGTAAAATCTGCGTCTTCTTTCGTAATACACAAAGGTGGTTTTATTCTCAATACCTGCACGTATCGAATGATATGAATATTTACATATTTAAATATTATAAATACTTGACCTGGTTAACTTACGTTTGCATGTAATCCTCCCTTGCCGAGAAGAACGCCCATTTCTTTCATATCCTCGAAGATCTCGAGCATTCGTTCATTTTCTAATGGCTGTTTCGTTTCTGGATTTGAAATTAATTCAACTCCGATCATCAGCCCTTTCCCTCTGACGTCACCGACGATGTCAGGAAATTCTGATAGCAAAGTATTCAAACGACTGATCAAATAAGTACCGACGACTCGTGCATTCTCTTGAAGACCCTCTTCTTCTATAATCTAAAATATAAGTGTTACTTATACATTACGATAATTTATTTGTAATTTACTTGTAATTAGTTCTACTGATAAGGAAGTTGTAATTTGTAGTTCGAAGTACGACTTATGAATATTTTAGATGATAAATATATACTCACTTCTAATACAGTTATCCCCACAGCGCACGCGAGTGGATTTCCTCCGAACGTATTGAAGTGCAACGCATCGTTTAGGCACTTGGCGATTTCTGTGGTTGTAACGACTGCGCCAAGAGGAAATCCATTACCGATGCCCTTCGCCATGGTTACAATATCAGGCGTGACGCCGTGATTTTCAAAACCCCAAAAGTGTTCGCCGGTTCTGCCAAAACCAGTCTGAACTTCGTCCGCTATGCAGACACCTCCCTTATCGTGGACGTAGTCGTACATCTTCTTAAGAAGATATTTGGGGTACTGCACCGCTCCACCTATCCCCTGAAGTTACAAAAAATCCATGCAATTAACGAATGCAAAATATATTACAAATTTTCGCGCATATTTACAAGATACCTGAATGCTCTCCGCTACGAATGCCGCTACACCTTGCGTACAAGGTAGACCGAAGCTGAACGTTTCCTCGAATTCGTGAAAATATTTTTCTGACGCCATGCATCGTTCCTCGGTGCAGTCGCAGCTTCTTCCAATCGTTTGCACGGGCGAGTCTCTACATTTGGAACCACCCCACTCGCCCTTGTACACGTCTGGATACACTGTCTGAAATTGGCAAGCATTATACAGGATGCTTCGGTATAATACAGAGTATTCCAGTATACTCTGGAAATATCTTTCACTCACGTGCACGTATCCAGATGGTTGTACGAGGAAAGGATACCGCCAGGTACTTATCGCGGTGGAGGCTGCAGTCCCAGACGTTGCTCCGTGATAACTGTTTTTTAAAGAAATAATGTTGTGGCCGCGAGTGTGAAGTCTAGCCATCAAGAACGCTAGTTCGTTCGCCTCCGAGCCGCTGTTCGTAAAATAAACCACCTTCAGCTTCCCCGAAAATTTGCTGAGCAATTTAATAGCGTACTCGTGTAGACGTGGTTGCATATAAACGGAAGATACGTGGTTCAACTTCGATGCTTGTTCGGTTATAGCGGCTACTATTTTACTGAATAACAAGAACAAGGAAACGCGTTTTATTTTTGCGTTCGACTTGCTTAAAATCGAATTTTGTAGTCTTATTACATTAGCGATTCAACATACTTCTTTCGATACTTGAATCTTTATAGAAATAATACCAAGAAGTGATTTATTAATTTGACGAGGTGAGGACACCAAAATGGAACTCGAAGGAAGCAGTCTGGTCTAAGATATACTAGACGTCCCTTCATTCTAGAACTTACGGATGAGAGTGTCCGACAGATACGGTAGCAACACCTGCAAACATATCCAAATATCGTTTTCCATTATGGTCCCACAACCACTGTCCTCGCCCTTCGTGTATCATTAACGGCTGCTTGTAAAATGATTTCAAAGAGGGAGAAACGATTGATTCGCGTGCTTTTTTCACATTTTCGTACTTTGCGCCCTGAATAAAGAAGAAAACTTAAAGAGGAAAACTTACGTACATCTGGTAGAGTAGATTTAATTTTATCATATTTTAATGTACAAAAAGGAATACCTTTAGGCGAACTCAAAACCTTACCGTATAAGTGGAAGGTATATACTCGCAAACGGGCATTTTTAGAGAACTCTTCGCATCGATCGCGAGGGATCTTCCTTGCACGGTGAACCCTAATATAATAGTTAGTGTTTTAGGGTAATTCTAAGTTTCATTTGTTGAATTCAGAAATTTTAATGTTTGCAAAATACATTTGAAAGTTTGAATTATGCGACAGGAAATTACATGTATATTGTTTCAGGTATAAGAGAGCGTGGAACGATTCTTACCGGATATTGCATAAGTTACAAATTTGAATTTAAGTTAACCCTTTGCACTTCTGAGCCCAGCTGTATATAATATGTACTACGATATGTATTACTACAGTAAGAAGTTTGAAAAAAGGTCATATGATAGAACAAATTGCCAATGTACCCATACAGCCTAACTGTTTGGAGTGCGGAGGGTTGATATATACAAATCACATGCTTTCCAATACTGATGTTAAGTAAACCTACTGATGAATGTAATGAGAATACATATAATCAGAGATGTAAACTATGATTCAGTTTGGTAGAACACTTACACTTTGAATTCATCAGGTGCAGCGTACTAACACTGATTTTTACGCGCATGATTGCTTGAATGTTCGTTCGTAATCGATTGGTAAATCCACTTTTCAGATTAATGTATCTGCTTAAAAACTATTCTACGGAGAATTACCGATAGTTGTGTGTTCCGTTTGCGTTACAAATAGGAATCGTTACTGGAAACTTTTTAACTGTCCGAGGACTGATTGCGGACTGACAATACCGCGTAATTATGCAAACAAGAATCGAAAAGTTAAACGAGTTTATTTTAATGCGAGCATTCATGTATAAATACAGGCTCGTTGAGCTACGTATGCGTAAAGGAAATTAAGATCTTTTACGAATATTACAATATACAATTTCGTTATGCATCGAATATTCGAATAAAAAGACGCAAACTATAATAAGATATTTAAAAAGGATGACAATTGTCGTGACTGTTTAGTGGGAATATATTTTAAATTAAATAAAATATTATAAAATCAACTTTATTTATACATTTTAAATAATTGACCCATAAGTTAATCACTATTCCTTTAATATTTTTGTATCCTCTAACTCTTCCTTATCGTTTGCCTTTTTATCTTCTAAATACGACGGATCGTCGGTAAGTGATTTAAATTTGAAAACTACTGGTATACTGTTTAGAATGGGATTTGTTTTTTCTAGACACCTTATCCAAGATAACAAGGAATCTTTAGAGGATGTACCGGTCGCGCACATCGCATAATATACACCATCGTTTTGTTCGTGAATAGTAACAGGTATCTTAGTGTGAAGACTTTCCCAAAATGGGATTTTCAAATTAGAAACATCTGAAAATTAAATGGCGAAACTTATTTCTATAGCAGTTTAAACGTATCATACATTCATAATTGTTAATTTCATCGTACCATCGGTTGTATCAGGAATAACTTCCCTTTTTATGGGATCTCCTTTCAATACAAAATAATCTATACATTGATCTCCAACCCAAATTATAAATGGTCCTTCTATAACTAAAGGTTTATTGGTTGGTTGTACAGCAAGCAGTGTCTGTTGCCATTTACTTATACTGGATATAATCCATGTATCGTCCACAGCATCTAGCACATCTTTCGTTTTATACACCGTAATCCTGGCTCGTACATCTATGCTAGATATTTTTGCAATAGCATATTTTGCAAGTACTTGCGGATCTTTAGGCGTTGGTTCAGGAAGAGGCCAAGGGTTTAGTCTGGAAAACTTTGGCATCCAATAAATCATGCGATATAACTTTTGTATAGGATAACTTCTTTCGCCAAAAATATTTAGAATCATTTCTTGCAGTTCGTAATCAGGCATCACGTTATTTTCTTCCATTTGTCTAAGCAATAAGAGAGCAACATCTTGCTGCTTTGGATAATGATACATCATTATTTGATATATATTCGTAGGTATGTGTACCCCTTTCGGAAATACGTCTAGCAAAGCTTTATAAACTTCTAAATCCTTGTGTACGCCAAACTCTTTCATATGTCTCAAAGCGTATTTAATAAAGTCGGCTTGTCCCCTTTGCAAAGTGCGATCCTTGACGTATAAACGTATAACATCTAAAAACGTTTCTTTTTCCTTCTTTTCCATCATATCAAAATTATAAACTGCTATTGCATCCTTATGCTTCTTTTCATCATACAAAATTTGATGGTTTTTATGAAAATGATTAAAAATCATTAATTGCGTGAACGTCCATCCTTTGGTTATCGGAACTTTGTCTAATAAGTTAAAGGTTCTTTTCATTAAAGAATACATATTAACTGTCTTTCGAAATTTTACAATGTTCACATTTATTGAAATTCATGGATTTTCATTACACTATTCTTTATAACCTCTTTTCTTCAATGTAACTACTTCGATAAATACATTTGTACAGTTAGAGTTACGAAAGAATCGTTGGTCTCTTAAGTTTTAGCATTGATCGCCCATTTGGCATCAAATTTAGATGCATTTTCTGTCAAGTTACTCAATTTTTATATTTATTATAAACAAATATACATTTCATGGCAATTCATTCGTTCATCGACAACGTATAGTAATTATAGATCAGAGATCCCAGATTCGGCATGCGGATCCCCGTGTCGACGAAAAGTGGTGCCGACTATGTTTCTAAACGTACTAAAAACCAAACCTACATAGGAATTTATTTCTGTAAATGGTTTTAGATTAAAAATTCATTGAAACATTACAAGTATGTCTGTATCATAATTTCCATTAACTGTAGATTTACAATAATTGATTTCATTTATACAATTGTCAGCGTACTATTTTACATGTACATTACATAAATTCCTCATATGAATTCCACTGGTCCCTAGAGATAGGCAACCTGTTGTCATAGCTGTAAATAAATTACATGCTACGATGTGTGTCGACCCATAAACTGAAAAATTATGTTTTATCGATAAACGTAGCATTTGTTAAATAATACAAATTTAATTTAGAATTTCAATGTATTGTTAAACTCTTTACTGTCATTATACACTCGATAGAAGAAAAGATAATGCTTGACGAGCAAACTGGATTAGGTTGCATATCTTCAAGGGTTTGTGAGATGATCACAATTATTGAGAACCTCTGACGTAAAACAGGATAAAAATAGAATGTTGTGTCCCGTGTAAATGACAGTATTTCCTTTAGACAGATGTAAAATGTTTTAAATTTTAAACCGGTGAAGTTGTATGGCATCCACGATGTTTACTAACAAAACCAAAAGAAATTGCGTAATTGTTATTTCGATCTTCGTACATATATAAATCAGAATTAGTACAATAATAACAGATCGAAATAAGTAATTTAGTATTGCAGAGGATCGAAGGTTATTAAGAATTGTAAATATATATATTTTCATATCTGCTGTTGGTGTTAAGAATGAAAAGTAAATAGATTGATTGCGATTGGTATGTAGAAGTACAACTTGTACTCTTCTACCAAAGAGAATATACACTCCATTTTCTGTGATAAGTATTAAATACATCATTTATATTGTAAACACTGTTAACTATTGTAGAAGAATGAATCCATTACTGAAAATATTTTTATCCCATTGTTGGGGAAATATGTATTTAATAGTAGGATTGACCATGGGCTTGAGTCTCAGTATGATATCTGTATCTATAGATACAAATGATTACAGTGACAAAACAGAACATTTAATACAGTCTACGTATTATCAAGAAGATCTAGACGAATACGAACCAAAGATAAATATCAATAGTAAACCACAACAGGCACAAAAAGTGCCGAAAACATTGATACGCCCAAGATATTATTCCACGGAACTCGGAATCAGAGAGAAACTATTCGTAGGGGTGATTACAAGTCAGCAATATTTACATAGCAGAGATATAGCGATCAATAAGACAGTTGCTCACATTGTGGATAAAATTCGGTATTTCATATCTATACCAGAAGGAACAAAGCCTAATGTTACTCTTCCTGGTATTGTTGGATTCACGGATACTAGAAGCATATTGAAACCATTTCATACTATGAAATACATAATCGACAACTACCTGGAGAACTATGATTACTATTTCTTGACTAAAGATGTAAGCTACATCAATGCTAAAAAATTAGTACAATTTGTTACCAAGATTAGCGTAAGTCAGAACGTTCACGTCGGTGTTCTCGGAGATATTCCAAGTTATTGTTCTTTGGGTAAAATAATTAGTGTGTTATACAATCACGCTAATAAAAAGTAACAATCTATTAATGACGATTATCGATTTTCAGATTCAGGAATTCTTTTAAGCAATTCGATCGTACAGGAGGTGAAAAATAATTTAGACTGGTGCGTGAAAAATGCTTACTCCGATTCGGATGACGTTAATTTCGGACGATGTATCGTTCATTCGGCTTCGACGCGTTGCTCTACTCGCGTACAAGGTCAAAATTACTTATCCACCAAATTAAAGTCCACATTTTTATTCGAACAGGACTTGGAAGAGTTAGCTAAAAACGATGAATTTGCAAAATCGCTCGTAATATACCCGATATACGATCACAATCTCATTTATAAATTTAACACTTACTTTGCAGCAGTAAGTTAATATGTAATTCGTTAGACATGTAATTGAATACATTGCAACGTTTATGATTTATTACTTTCAGATCAAGTCTATTGAAATTCAAGGAAATATCTCTAACATTCGGGAAGCAATCTTAAACATGGCACATTTAGGTCCATCGCAAGAACATGACGTGTCCTGGCCTGTTGGCAATCAGCCGGGAAACAAGGCCTCTGGACGTTTCGATATCTTGCGGTGGATGTACTTCAACGAGACTCATACATTTTTCAGTACAGACTTCTTGGGTGTGCAAGAATTAAAAACTAACGCGAAATTTGACATAGATCGGATTATTAATGTAACAGCCTCTAGCATCATTGCCAATTCCCCGCTAAAGTTGAAATTTAAAAGATTACTCAACGGATATCAAAAGTTCGATGCATCACGAGGAATGGATTACATATTAGACTTGGCGTTTACTGACGTAACAACCGGCAAAGAAGTCATAAAGAGAATAGAAGTGTGCAAACCACTTGGTAAGGTTGAAATTTTACCTGTTCCATACGTAACAGAAAACACGAGAGTTAATATAATATTGACCGTTGACTCGTTGAGAAAGCAGGATGCGTTAAAGTTTTTGGAACAGTATGCTGCTGACTGCATGGAGAAAAAATATAAAACTTTTCTCATGGCGGTTTGTATTTTTGTAGCTTCTATTGAACATTTTTAAAACACTTTTTAATTTATTGACACTCTTGATTTTTCATAGGTTCTTTTGTATAATTTCAATTCCCCCTCGAAAGGCAAAGATGATGTATTCTACGATGTCAAACAATATGCGCTTACGTTAGCTGAAAAGTATAAGAAAAACCAATCGAAAATCACTTGGCTCTCTATACGTTTGCCAAATAACGTAACATCCATTGACTTTGATCCGACGTTAACTATTGCCGTCACGGATTTGTGCATCAGAAAATTTTCGCCTGAAAGTTTAATACTCTTTGCAGAGACTGGAATACAACTTCGATTGGATTATTTAAACAGAGTATATATACACTCATATTCGTTACTTATTATAAGAAACTTGTATTTAGTGGCTCAAACTAATTGTTATTGTAATGTTCAGATTCGTATGAATACCATCAATCAGTACCAAATATTTAGCCCAATTCCGTTCGTGGAATTCCATCCTGATATAGCTCATATGAATGACGTGAAATATGTTGACTCGGACATTAACCGTAATCACGGGAGATACGACGAATACAATTATAACAATATTGCTTTTTACGTAAGGGATTACAACGCAAGTATGTGCTCCCGTAGAATTTTCATTATGCATCTTTACGAATTGTTTAATGAAACACATTAATTATATTGAGCACGTTTATATATTTGTTACAGTGCGGAGAAACGTGGAGACCAGCATTCCAATAACACACTCCGACAGGGACATACCGTCTCTTTTAAAACTCTCTCAGGATATACCTGTGACATCTTTGTACGAAATGTTCGTTTCCTTCAGTAATTTACATATACTACGCGCGGTAGAACCAGCCCTTAAAGTAAAATATAAAGACATCGATTGCACTAGCGCTTGTAACAATAATATGTATAAGCTTTGCGTCCGATCTAGAAGCTTCCACTTGGGTCGACGCAGTCAACTCGCCAGATTAGTGTTGGATTACAAAACGTACAAAAATAATTTACTAGCGTAAATTATGTTCGCTGAGGAAAACATGAATTTTTAACGCTATTATTATCCAGTGAAATTTGATATTAAATATTCTATTTATATATGTATATTGTAATAGTCATATTATAATGAATATTTTATTAAATTTATACATTTCATTTAAATAAATATTTTGTAAGTAATACAGTCGTTTAATCGTTTTGTGCACACATCACATATGACATTTTGTATTTTTAAGAGACTGCATGAATAACCAATCGAATTTATGAACATACTATATATGATATTTGGATACCGAGTATCTCGAATACACGAAGAATCAATTCAAGATTAAAAACAAAGCTTTTGCCACTTAACCAGGAAGCGCGTAAAAGATTTTGGCAAGATTTCTACCTTCCATGTATATAAGAAAGTAAAGATCATATAATTACACTAAATATTAGTCAATAGTAATTGTACAATCCCTAATACCTTATAAATAAATGTACATACACTATATTATCATTTGTATTCCTCACTGCTCGGAAATCAAAGGTTTGTTGTATATGTGTATATAGCACAACTTACTGTGGTACATATAGGATATGTGGACCATGCTTTCAAACTTGCTATACACATTTCCTTGGCATGGAACAGAATTAACATTTTTCTATTTCGTCTTCCCGAATCCTTCGATGAACCATGACAAATAAAATGCTGAAAAATAAATTTGTTTGAACTATAAACAATTTTCTGCGAATTTGTTCACATCTCTGAAAAATGTTGTTGTAACGAAAATATACGTGTTACAGTAGATGACGCTACTAGACGCAATTTACACGTACATTACATTAATTGCTATCAGATTCCGATTCTGATAACTGCAAGTCGTCGTTTAAAAGATTATCTGGCATTAGTAATGTGGGAGACGAAGCTGTACTGTTCAAATGTCCTAAAAAATATTAAAAAATTAATAGTTTTTAACTTTCTTGATTAATAACGATAGCATATATTTCGACTAACATACCGTTAGTTCCTGTTGGCACTGGAATATTTTCAGTGTCCGAATCACTGTCGGAACTATCCGAACTCGAGCTACTCGTAGTAGAATCACTGAGAGCTCCTTGGTCACTGTCTATAGTTATAGTAGGTTTTATCGTCGCTTGAGTATTTATTGCAGGAGATGATCTCGGAGGCGCAGAAGAACTTATAATCGGGAATGATCCGGATGATGATAAAGGACAGTCGTCATTGTCAGAACCAATCATTGGCAAACTAGCCAAAGTCGATGGTGCCACTGATGGTTGCACTGGTGAACTAAAGTTCTGTGTGTTTTTAGTACGTTTAGAAAAAAATCTTAATGTGTTACGGTAACATTACTGAATAAATAAGGACTAAGGGATTATTTTATGTCTCTTTCAAACTAATTTACTTTGACATTAAAAAGTACCTAAATACCTATTGGTTGTGGTAGAAGGTGGACTTTTGCCATGATAGGGAGAAACTCTAAGGGGACTGTATTGTTTTGGATGTAATTGAATGCTAGGTTCTCTTTTCTTTCCACTCGTGACTTTTGTCCTCCCAGTTGCCCTTCCATGTGTAGGACTCCTCTTTGTTTCAACCGGGGTTATAGGTCTGTTACTTGTATTCCCCCCAGGAACTCCTAAGTGCGATTGAGACTTGGGTTCTGTTCTAAAAAAATGTTACAACGTACATCAATAGCATAGAAAACAAAGCTATCATAATTCCAGAAGAAGGAATGCGATGTTTGGTTACCGAGTTTTTTTCACTTGTATATTGGCGGTTAATTTTTCCAATGTAATCTCTCCTGTAACTCTATCTATTATCAGAACGCATTCTTTATGGTAAGGTCTTTGAGAACCTTTAAAAACTGTGTGAGGAATTCCAGCTCCGTCCAAGTGAGGCACAGTAACTGTCATCGTGTTGTTAGTTCCAACTTCGACCCTTGCTACTTTGGAAACGTCAACACTGGCTGGTTTGAAATCATCTAGAATGAAATATGACATTTTCGTTCATTCTTGGTAAAATTATTAATAATTTTGCATAATATTTTAGGCACTCTACATTTTTCAGAAAATACAAAGAGGAAATTGGTTGTCTCGAGACATCTAAAGTGAGATTTCTTATAGTTACATATATTAACGACGATATCTATGCACTGGCCTCGGTGATTTAAGTTGTAAATTAAACGAATCCGAGTACTAACATTTCAGAGTGTGAAAGGCTGTCGATCTGTTGTTCGTGAAAGTTGGTCCCAGCTTAAGTTCCCGAATTTCGGGGCCCAAACCGAGCCGCTCTGCCATGTTACGTCCGATACCTTGGAAGTTTGTTTCGAGAACAGAAGCAACCGATTTCATCGAGTAACTTTATCTTAACCAACGTGAATGAGTAACCTGCTCGAGGTACGAGTAATCTACGGATAATCGAGATTAGTCGTTGCACGTTTTAATCGTTGGATTGCCAAAATATGGAAGAGACGCGCACTTGCATTTTCCAGTAACAGCTGCTTCGAAAGCTGTTCCGTTCAGACTGTTAGAGAAAGATCGTTTGCACGTCCGTTCGATCTGTCACGTGTACGGAAACGGTTATCGTTAAATAGTGGCCTAACGATCGATAAAGTGGCACAGCGCAGAAAAATTAAACAAAATTCTTTCGGCTCGCACAACACGATTCTTCGTTGACCTAGTTCGTTTGATATCTGCGCTCATGAAAATCCCACACTTTATGGTTAATTCGTTCGATATTATTTGGGAACGCGTTTAAAAGGAAAACAGTGATACCTCGTCGATTCGATTGAATTCAAGATATGTTGCGATTTATCTGTTTTCGAATCCTCGGTAGAAGCATTTTATCGAGCCGTTTAAAGTTCAACTGAATATTAAATTTCAGAGTATGTGTATTATAGAAATCCGAGTATTATCATAGAATCTGTATCGAATATAGACAGGCTGCAAGCAGTAATATCTGACGGGATGTGACGTCCACGAAAAAACTGCTTTCTCATTGGGCAGTTCCGTAACGTTACTTCGATTCTTGCAATTTCGAAGGAATTTACGAATAAAGTATATATTGCCACGAAACATTGATAAAGAGACATAACGCTGTGTCAATTTAAAAGATTTTTAAAATAATTATTAACTTTCCCATGTCCCGATCGTTTTACAGTTTCACTTATGCCAGGGGTTGAATGCATCGTAAAACGCGGCAAAATTTAAAACGCTGAATTTACGTAAATGAAAATACAGTTTATTTCGTTAAGATTATAAAAATTAATATTATTCACAATTCGTTTAAAGTTAAGACCATAAAAATTTCGACGAAGCACAGAGAATACTGAGTCAAATCTGTACTTGGGATATCGTAATAGTAGCAAAACTCGTCGATGAAGAAACGTTCGAAAATATAAGAAACGACCAAACTGATAACGTTGTAATTACTATTTCGTATGCCTACCAACGTAATCATTAATAGCTGTAAAGTGGAAGCGATATTTAGTAACAACTGGTGCTTCCTTATTTGGCTCTTGTTGCGTTTCGATTGCAGCTGGAAAAATACTGGCAAAATGCCCAAAGAAAATACTATGAGCCAAATTTTTTCATTAATTCCATATCCATTTAGGATACCCGCAGTAAACAATGCCAAAGGTGCAACGTCGACAATCTTGGAGTACCAGTCGTAGGAAATCCTTAGGTACTTGGCTACATTGGTTGCTGATGTGATAGATGGTGCTCCTGGAAGCAACATTGCTAAAAATAATGTGCTTAATAGCTCCATATATATAATATAAGTGCTACTATGTTACTACGTATTATGGCGTGAATTAATTGTTTTTATACAATTAAGCAGGAAATATGTTTTTCAATCATTTTAAAGTTTTGAGAAACATCGCAACAAAAGTATTTATATTTCGAAATGTTCACCTGTACCCATTTAATAGAATTTGATAGTAAGAGATAAGGATGAGAAAGGTGATGTTATTTTTTCTTAGTCTCTAAAGTTCATGTAAAATAGAAGTTATGTAATGTAAAGATAAATATATAGTTGGAACTTGCGAGAAATAATATGAATGATGGATTATTTACAATATTATTCTTTATACTTTCCAGCAGCAAAAGCATATATATTATACACAAACAAATTTTGTAGGCTTAATAATGAGATTATGAATTTTAATATGACGTGTAATGCAATTGGTTAATGTAAATCTTATACAGTATAAGCAGAGTTGAATCTATGCACAGGCAAATCTAGGCAGTCCCATATGAATGTTGAGCAAAATAGGATAGTTACACAAATCATAAAAATGATTTATTTCAAGCAAATGCAGTTTCAAGTATAAGCATAGAATTATGAATGACAATTGGTAGAAAAAAATTTAAATTCTATCATTACTAATTTCATCTCTAAATTATTACCCCTCCACTACAATATTGCACTACAAGCCAAAATATAAAAACTACAACAAGCAATTAAATATTATGCTAAGCAAAATAAGAAATTTGTAGAAATGCTATATTCCATGCAACAAGTAAAAATAAAGTCAGTACGATATCTTTTTGTGCCAAAGAAAACTCTGGCCCAAAAAAGAAAATGCAACTACCTAATTATTATACATCAACATCTCTGCGTGATCATTCTTTTCATCTTCTAAACATTATATTCGAACCATTGCAACCAAACTACAATATTATTTCTCACCTGTTCCAACGAAATTGAAACAAATGTTGAACTAACTAATACATCTTCATCCTTTGGAGTTTTACGCATAAAAGTCATAGTACAATACCCTTACGTAATTTCATACCAACTAATCCTCTGCATGACCCCCAATAACTTACAAGATGTACTTTTAGGGGGCTCTGTACAGATAACGTTGTTTTTAAAAAACACACTATCAAGATGCAGAATACTCAAGTGTCGAAGGATACATCCTTACCGAACCTAAGAATCCCTAGGATGGAATGAGAGAGTAGAATTTGGAAGGCACGTAACGACCAGGTAGTTGCTTTACCATAGGAGTCGCCAAGGAATTTCATGCAACCGATTGTCACGATAAATTTCGATAGGTGTGCTAAGACGCTGCTTGGACAAACCATGGTCACCTCTTATTCACAGACACTGTATCTTTCAATGAGAATAATCTCGAGTCACGAAATTTACCAAGTCTGATGAAAATTTCCATGCGATCACAATTAGAAGACGTCGATACATGAAATGTTTTCGTTTTATCGATAAAGCAAGTAACTTTTTCTGATCATTTATTTAATATCCAAACGAGGTTATGTATGATTACAATCGGTATTCGGTATCGAGTAAGCGCTATGTTACAGCGAACGGTCCTTCGTTCGTGTGTCTTCTAGTCTAAATTTATTAAAGTTTATTAAAACACCAGCGTTACATAGATAGCAGCACAGACATCGTATTCTATTTAGATAGGTCGAACGCATACACGTCTATCTTGATCGTGATTCCGTCATCGCGTATGATACGCTACATATTCCGTCCTTGATACCTAAAGCATAGATATGCATAGATATGTTACTGCCAGGGTCGGCCTTAAGGGCGGGGGGTCGAGCAACCCCCCGGGGCGCCAGATTTTTGGAGGCGTCGCAGTCCGGTGTCCTAAAAATGTTGTAACACCTTGAAAGGGGTGGTTCGGGAGGTGATTTGAAACAACTTTTTCCTTAGCGAAAATATTGTCCGAGGCTTCGTTGAGGAGATATTAACGGAAAACACTGACCAATCAGAGCGCCAGAATGCCAATGGAGCGCTCCCGGTAGCGTATGAGCGTGGCCGCCTAGCGCGTAGCCTACGCTCAACCGGCGATACTCGCGCTTTGATTGGTCGGGGTTTTCTGTTAATATCTCCTCAACGAACCCTCGGACAACATTTTCGCCAAGGAAAAAATTGTTTCAAATTACCTCCAGGACCACCTCTTTCAAGGTGTTACAACATTTTTGGGCCACCCTGTATATACCCCTGACGGGGCACCACGATAATCTTGCCCGGGGCTCCAATATCTAAAACCAGCCCTGGTTACTGCATAAATACATATAACTGTCAATTTAACGCCTTTAATAACAAATTTAGATCCAAACTATTTGTTTACACCAATGAAAACTAATGGGACTGATACAATGATTAGTGATACAACTATAAAGTATAAACCAATAAAGGCTGTAGCAGCAATCACCAATAAAATTTTGCATTCATTAATTTGTTTGCATTTGAATTAATCGATCGATCGATTGCGAACAATTACAGTTATTTCTTGGCTAACTCGTGGATTAAAAAGTTGTATTCGTAAGATGATGGATAAAATATTTGTGCTAATAATGGTTACAGATATTATTGTTCTAAGGAGAAATATGCGTGCCTCGAAAAATATTAAATCCTTCTTAGAACGAATACCGAGATAGATAGAAGGCGATAGAAGAGTTAAGAAGAATTAAGACCCATAGGATATACATAGATAGCTGTTTAGTTGGTTGCATTGTAAAGGGAAACGAGGGTAGGAAGCAGTGTGCAGGATTTGGCATCGGTAAGAAAAGGATTGTACGCAATCGCGACTAGCGAGCCTTATGCACAGAAAAAAGAATCAAGAGTATGATTGGAGGTCAACGTCTTTCGACAAGGCGACTAATATATCACCGATGCGCCTTTTCACGGTTCCGTTAAAAGTTTTGCAGCAGTACTGCAGTATTTTTACCCTTGACAACTTGTCGTGTAATCGCGGTAAATGTTCGTGCGCGCTCGACGTGAAATCGTTACACAACCCTAAATTCTGCACGAACTTCACGGCATTGGCAATTCGGATTCTGATTTTGTTTGACGCAGTGCTTCTCAAACTAATGTTCTCTGTCGAACAAGAATCGCGTCTTTTGTTCCATAAAGGCTCGATGAAAGATATCAATTGAAAATGAACCGAAGCGTTTAGAAAAGACTGATAAAGTTTATGGTTTCATCGATAATCAACGAATACTAATAAACGAAAGCTGCAGGGATCGATGGTTGACCAAAGAAATCGTTTATTCGAAATTTGTATATTGTACTTCTTACTTTAAATTTAGTAAGAGTTGTAAAATTATTAGTTTGTTCAGAAAGTTCGTGGCAATTTTTAAGAAAACTTCAAAGGCACATCTCAGTTGTAATATACATTTATTTATATGTATATTTATTGAATTACATAGGTACTATTTTGTTCCACAACCTTTCCACTTTTTAAGGGATGTACATATATATGTTATTTGTTTTCAGCCATTTCGACATATTCGGACCCGCACCACCTATCAAAAATCGGCATGGACATTCCGGACAACCCAATAAAAGACGTATCTGCAAGAATATTTAACAAATTTAAACGTCAGTCCATTTACGAATCGCTACTGTAGCAGAGCTGCGCCTTGTCCGGCGAGTGCTGCCATCTGGCGTATCAAACAGACATAGAAATGATTATAGGAATTCCAATATCCAAAATGCATTTCTTGCTTTGTTCGAAGCGGGCTTCGGTCACGAAGCGCACACTTGTAAATGTATAAGAAAATATGCAAAATATTTGCAGAACAAAATGTACTTGTAATCCAGTTTAACACTGATAGATAATAACGATAGATAATATTACAAAGGATTCTTCGTTCAAAAGTTAAAGCTAGTTAAAATTCCATTCATAAACAATTCACGTAAAGATATTGTTTACGAGGTAGTTATTTTTAGTTCGGTGTACTATTGCGACGATTAATCTTAACCATAGTATCACGGTGCGCCTTGGCAACCGCATAACACGACATTACTATCACAGTTTGGCAAACGATGTAACTCTACGTTCTCTCTCTGTTCTTTTTTTCTTTTTTTCTGTACACTTAACGGCGATGGGTAAAACGTTTACTGACAGAACATTTTGTCTCTTTAAATATTAACGACCGTTCGAACGGTTCTACTTATTCCTATGTTTACAAGCCAATTTCTAGATAAATATCTCACGGTTAGAGCTGCGCCGACTAAAAATAGAATTTTTGCGACATTTTTACATTGGGCGCCAGAAACGCTATTTTAAAATATAATCGCGCGCACGCCGCGAACCGAGCAG